GCTAAAATATATATATATATATATATATATACATCAAGTATTTAAAAAAAATCCAATTGACTACAAGGCTACAAAGATTTATAACTAATTAAAATATTAATTAAGAAAATAGAATAAAAATTATTAAATTAGATTCAAATGATGTTTTAATATAAATAATTAATTTTTAAATTTTGCGCAAATCATTATTGTTTTATAACTACATGATTATGATTGTTAAAATAACTCTTTGTTCGTGAACAGCTCGTAAGCCGAACACGAACACACTTTTTGAGCTCGAAATATAAAGCTCAGCTCGTGTTCGACTCGTTTATACCCCTACACATAATGAAGCATTGCAATAAATATTATTTTTAAGGAAAATAGTATTATTATTTTTCCTCTCACTAATTAAGATAACAACTACAATAAATATTATTTTTAAGGAATATATTATTATTATTTTTCCTCTCACTAATTAAGATAACAAATTTTAAAATAAATTATTAGGAAAACAAAATCTATTTACGCAAAAAACCACAAAAAGTCCAAAAAAGAAAAAAAATAACTTCTAAAATGTCTAGGATCAATTTATGCATCTTCATCTACGCAAAAAACCACAAAAAGCCAAAAAAAAAAAAAACTTCTAAAATGTCTAGGATCAATTTATGCATCTTCAAAAAAAAGTATTCTGCCACAGAACACTAAAAGATTTTCTTTGCAATGGAAATAGCTGCAGAAATAAACAAGTAAATGTAATATGTATGAGTGGCAAAAGGGATGTTACATAGAAAATAGAACTCCATCAAACCCTAAGAAAGTTCATCAGCAATCCTTATGATAAACAAAAATTGCAATTAAAAACAGATACCGGAATACCGCACTAAGACTGCTTCACAAAACTTCCAACCACCCAAATATTCGAAATAGAGATGCAGCGAAGAAGAGAACCAGTGATCTAGAGGAAAATGAAATCAAATGGAAGAATATAAGTGCATTAAATGAAAGAGAGAATTTAAGTCTGATTCGTGTTAATTGTTTGTTGCAGGAAAATCAACTCTGACTGATTCTCTAGTGGCTGCTGCTGGCATTATTGCACAAGAAGTTGCTGGTGATGTTCGAATGACAGATACTCGCCAGGATGAGGCTGAGCGAGGCATCACTATCAAGTCCACAGGAATTTCCCTCTACTACGAGATGGACGATGAGGCTCTGAAGAACTTCAAGGGCACCAGGATGGGAAATGAATACCTTATCAATCTCATTGATTCACCGGGGCACGTGGATTTCTCATCAGAAGTCACAGCCGCTCTAAGGATTACTGATGGGGCTCTTGTCGTTGTTGACTGCGTGGAGGGTGTCTGCGTGCAGACCGAAACTGTTCTGCGACAAGCACTCGGTGAAAGAATCCGGCCAGTTTTGACCGTTAACAAGATGGACAGGTGCTTTTTGGAGTTGCAGGTGGAGGGTGAGGAAGCTTACCAGTCATTTCAAAGAGTCATCGAGAATGCAAATGTCATCATGGCTACCTATGAGGATCCTCTTCTTGGCGACGTCCAAGTTTACCCTGAGAAAGGAACCGTTGCTTTCTCAGCAGGGCTGCACGGTTGGGCTTTTACCCTCACAAATTTCGCTAAGATGTATGCTTCAAAATTTGGAGTTGATGAGGCCAAGATGATGGAGAGACTTTGGGGTGAGAACTTCTTTGATCCTGCTACAAAGAAGTGGACGACAAAGATCACAAGCTCCCCGAGTTGTAAACGTGGTTTTGTCCAGTTCTGCTATGAGCCAATTAAACAGATCATAAACACTTGCATGAATGATCAGAAGGACAAATTGTGGCCGATGCTGCAGAAGCTTGGGGTCACCATGAAAGCAGAGGAGAAGGATCTTGTTGGTAAGGTTTTGATGAAACGCGTGATGCAGACATGGTTGCCTGCCAGTACTGCGCTTCTTGAAATGATGATCTTCCACCTTCCGTCTCCAGCCAAGGCGCAGATGTATCGTGTGGAGAATCTTTATGAGGGGCCTCTGGATGATCCATTTGCTACTGCCATCAGAAACTGTGACCCAGAGGGTCCTCTTATGCTCTATGTGTCCAAGATGATTCCTGCATCGGACAAAGGAAGGTTCTTTGCTTTCGGGCGTGTATTCTCTGGCAAGGTTTCGACTGGATTGAAGGTCAGGATTATGGGACCAAACTATGTCCCCGGTCAGAAGAAGGACCTGTATGTAAAGAGTGTGCAAAGAACTGTAATTTGGATGGGCAAAAAACAGGAATCTGTTGAAGATGTGCCATGCGGAAACACTGTTGCTTTGGTTGGTTTAGATCAATTCATCACCAAGAATGCCACTCTGACCAATGAGAAAGAGGTGGATGCTCATCCGATCAGGGCAATGAAATTTTCCGTCTCTCCCGTGGTTCGTGTGGCTGTCAGCTGCAAGGCTGCCTCCGACCTTCCAAAGCTTGTTGAGGGCTTAAAGCGTCTGGCCAAATCAGATCCCATGGTTGTCTGCACAATGGAGGAATCCGGAGAGCATATTGTTGCCGGAGCAGGTGAACTCCATCTCGAGATCTGCTTGAAAGATCTGCAGGAAGATTTCATGGGGGGTGCAGAGATTTCAGTATCTGATCCAGTAGTCTCTTTCCGTGAAACCGTGCTGGAAAGGTCCTGCAGAACTGTGATGAGCAAGTCCCCAAACAAGCATAATCGTCTCTACATGGAAGCAAGACCCTTGGAAGAGGGCCTTGCAGAGGCCATCGACGAAGGCCGCGTTGGCCACCGGGATGACCCAAAGGCACGGGTGAAGATCCTCTCGGAAGAATTTGGGTGGGACAAGGATCTTGCCAAGAAGATTTGGTGCTTTGGGCCAGAGACTACCGGACCGAATATGGTGGTTGATATGTGCAAGGGAGTTCAATATCTGAATGAAATAAGGGACTCTGTCGTCGCTGGGTTCCAGTGGGCATCGAAGGAGGGTGCTCTTGCAGAGGAGAACATGCGTGGCATATGCTTTGAGGTATGTGACGTTGTGCTGCATGCGGACGCCATTCACAGAGGAGGTGGGCAGGTCATTCCTACAGCAAGGAGGGTGGTATATGCAGCTCAGTTGACGGCGAAGCCCCGACTACTAGAGCCAGTCTACCTTGTGGAGATACAAGCTCCAGAACAAGCGCTTGGAGGCATCTATGGTGTGCTGAATCAGAAGAGAGGTCATGTGTTTGAAGAAATGCAGAGGCCGGGAACCCCACTCTACAACATCAAGGCCTACCTGCCGGTCATCGAATCATTTGGTTTTTCCAGCACTCTCCGGGCTGCGACGTCGGGGCAGGCGTTTCCTCAGTGCGTGTTTGATCATTGGGATATGATGTCTTCGGATCCCTTGGAATCTGGTTCTCAGGCTGGGCAACTGGTTAGTGACATTCGGAAGAGGAAGGGGTTGAAGGAGCAGATGACTCCCCTCTCTGATTTTGAGGACAAGCTTTGAAATACAACAATACTTGGAAATTATATATGTATATATATATATATATGTAT